CCTCTTATTCAATGAATTTGAATAAGGGAGTAAAAGTGAGTCCAAAAATTATTTTGTGTGTCAAACGATGTACACGAAAAATATTTGAATAAAATATTTTTGCTTACCAAAAATATTTTATAATATCAAAATAAACATTTGATAAATGTTTGACACACTTTTTGTAACTGACTCAATAAAACTATTTTGAACAGTTAAAAAGATTTTTCAACTGACTCAAAAAATAAATATAATTTTTATTTTAACTCTCATAAAAACAATTTTGGAGAGAAGATATTTTTGTCATCCTTACAAAAATTCCTACGACTCAAATAAATAAAAGTGTTCGGAAATCTTCTACTCCTCCGAGTCCTCCGTTAGGCGCTCCGAATGCGTCTCGGACTTCAATAAAATCCTGTGCACCTTCTTGAATATTTCAAGGAATGGCACTTCAAGTCTTCGTGTTTGTCGTTGTAGCACTTTGATCTTGACTTGAATAAATTGTGTTTGTCAATTATCAAAACCTGTGAGTCAACACTTAACAACACAGAAAGGGTTGAACTCATGCATTCCAACACTTTATGGACTCAAACAAGCTCCTAGAGCTTGGTATGAGCGGCTTACCGAACATCTTATCTCACATGGATTTGCAAAAGGAAAGATCGATTCCACACTTTTTGTCAAAACAAAAGGAAAAGATCTCATAATTATGCAAATTTATGTTGATGTCATTATTTTTGGGTCAACTAATGAAGCCTTATGTAATGAATTTTTAGGAATTATGACAAGCGAATTTGAAATGACTATGATGGGTGAGTTGAACTTCTTCCTTGGACTTCAAATTAAGCAACTTGGAGATGGTATTTTCATTAGCCAAACCAAGTATGCCAAAGAATTAGTCAAGAAGTTTAACCTTGAAGACTCAAAAACATATCCGACTCCAATGAGCACGTCTTTGAAGCTTGACAACGACGAAAGCGGAAAACCCGTAAATGAAAAGGTATATCAAGGTATGATTGGTAGTTTACTTTATTTAACTGCATCTAGACCCGACATCATGTTTTCCGTTTGTCTTTGTGCACGTTTCCAATCATCACCCAAAGAATCACATCTTAATGCCGTCAAGCGAATAATTCGATATGTCAAGGGAACGACCAATATGGGTTTATGGTATCCCAAGAATACGAATTTAAGTTTGATAGGTTTTAGTGATGCTGACTTTGGCGAGTGTCGTATTGATCGGAAAAGAACAAGTGGCACATGTCAATTCATAGGTCATGCACTAGTGTCTTGGTCATCTAAGAAACAACACTCCGTCGCCCTATCCACCGCCGAAGCAGAATATGTGGCTATGGGTAGTTGTGTTGCTCAAATTTTATGGATGATGCA